ATGATCCCAGGGTCCTGGGATCGATCCCCACATCAGGCTTTCTGCTCAGCGGGGAGCCTGCTTCCTCCTCTCTCTCTGCCTGCCTCTCTGCCTACTTGTGATTTCTGTCAAATAAATAAATAAAATCTTTAAAAAAAAAAAAAAAGAAAAAAGAAAAAAAAAGAAAACACAAGTGGTTAATCATATGAAAGATTGCTTGCCCTTATCAGCAATTAAAGAAGTGCAAATTAGTACTGTGTACTTAGATATCATTTATCCCCACCCCACCCAACTGACAAAAATCTTAAAGTCTAACCAGAAATTGGCAAGGTATTGGGACAGTGGAACTCAGAGACTGCTTATGGAGTGAGAATTAGTATGGCCACTTTGAAATTAATTGGCTTTACCTTGTATGGTTGACCTGGATATGCTCTGCGATTTAGCTGTTTTACTCTGCACGTGTGACTGAGAGAAACTGTTGTGGGAAGTGTGCATAAGAATGTTCACACAGCAAAAATCAGGAAACCACCGAAATACTCATCAGTAACAGAACAGCTACCTAAACTGTGGTTGTGTTTATACAGTGGGATAGTGTTCATTTGTATTGACTGAGTGAACGATCACTTTAACATGAATAAATATTAGAAAGATAAAGTTGAGGGAAAACAAGTTGTAGTTTTAGAAAATAAGCAGTTTTCTAAATTAAGTTTCTAAAATAAGTTTAGAAAATAAACACAGAGGGTTCTTCAACAGTATAGATCAAATTTTCTCTTGGTTAAGTTCGGTGTTGGGTTTACATATATTCGTTTTGTCATTACATTTATAACTTACATTTACAACACATATAGTCTTTTGTATGTATACCAATTCATAATAAATTGTAAAACCACAGGGATTATAAGGAAATTATTAAGTTTTTCTGTGAATTAACATCTTAAAATATAATGGGAAGTAATATTCACATTAGTGACAAATCATAAAATACTTAGTAAATTCAATAGGAAAGGCATAGGATCCACATTTTTAAAATGTATTGAGAGCTAAAACAGTTGGAACATAGAGAAAATATCAGTGTTCTTTGATGAGGACTATTAATATAAAATACCATTTCTTCCAAAATTCACATATAATTTTATTGTGATTCAAATTAGAATCTCTAGATCTCCATGGAATTGGACAAAACAAGATGAAAGTTTACATGGAAGAAAAAAGTATGCAAGAAAGGTCAAGAACGGGGGCTCCTGGGTGGCTCAGTCAGTTAAGCATCTACCTTCAGCTCAGGTCATGATCCCAGGGTCCTAGAATCAAGCTCCACATTGGGCTTTCTGCTCAGTGAGGAGCCTGCTTCTCCTTCTGCCTGCCACTCCTGTACTCTGTGTCAAATAAATAAAATCTTTGGGGGAAAAAAAAAAAAAAAAGAATGGTCAAGAACATTGGGGCGCCTGGGTGGCTCAGTGGGTTAAAGCCTCTGCCTTCGGCTCAGGTCATGGTCCCGGGGTCCTGGGATCGAGCCCCACATCGGGCTCTCTACTCGGCGGGGAGCCTGCTTCCTCTTCTCTCTCTGCCTGCCTCTCTGCCCACTTGTGATCTCTGTCTGTGAAATAAAATCTTTAAAAAAAGAAAAAGAAAAAAAAGAAAGAGGTTATTTGTCCTGTTAGGCATTGAAACATACTCTCTAAAGCCACCATAATCAAAACTTGGTATAAGTGGGGCACCTGGGTAGAAAAAAACAAAACGGAAAAAAAAAACCCACAAAACACAAATTTACATAAACAAAGGGCAGACAGTAATATTAGCAAACAGGGTAGAGCCCAGAAATAGCTTTTCGTGTTAGTTAAGTATAACACTTCTAAAGGATAGTTTATTTAATAAACGTTAGCTGAGGGGCGCTTGGGTGGCTCAGTGGGTTAAAGCCTCTGCCTTTGGCTCAGGTCATGGTCCCGGGGTCCTGGGATCGAGCCCCGCTTCGGGCTCTTCACTTGGTGGGGAGCCTGCTTCCTCCTCTCTCTCTGCCTGCCTTTCTGCCTACTTGTGATCTCGGTCTGTCAAATAAACAAATAAAATCTTAAAAAAAAATAAAATAAATGTTAGCTGACAAAGCTCCACATCTGAAAGAAAAGTAAACCGGACTCCTATCTTCTATCACATACAAAAGTCATTCCAGATGGATTAAAGATTTCATGGTGGAAAAATTAAGCTATAGAATCTTCAAAATTAAGAGAAGATACAATGTATGGAATTTTAATCTAAACCAAGAAAAAGACTAAAAAAGAAACATTTATGGTTTAAGATATAAAAATGTGAGAAATCAAAGGGCAGATTAGAAGAACAGATAACAGGGGGGTGCCTGAGCAGTTGGTTAAGCGTCTGACTCTTGGTTTCAGCCTGGGACCTGATCACAAGGTGTGAGATCAAGCCCGAGGTTGAGCTCTGCGCTCAGTTCTGAGTTTGCTTAAGACCCTCTCTCCCTCCGCCCCCTCCCCGCATGTGCATGCACATGGGCAGGCATGGTCTCAATTCTCTCAAACAAATAAATCCTTTTTATTTATTTATTTATTTATTTATTATTGTTATTTTAAAGATTTTATTTACATGACAGAGATCTCAAGTAGGCAGAGAGAGAGAGCAGGCTCCCCGCTAAGCAGAGAACCCGACGCAGGGGTCGATCCCAGGACCCCGGGATCACGACCCAAGCCGAAGGCAAAGGCTCTAACCCACTGAGCCACCCAGGCGCCCCATAAATCCTTTTTAAAAAAGATAAAGGATTAATATGTATAATGCAGAGAGAGAGTGTTAGGTTGTTTGTAATTTCTCATCGTAAAACAAGGTATGAATGGAAAAAGGGGTATGAATACATAGTTTACATAAGCAATCCAAAATATGTTCAGTCTCACTAGTAGTAGTTAGGGAAATGAAAATGAATTAACAATGAAATATTCACATGGCAGAGATCTCAACCAACAGAAATATTAAAACTGTATGTGTAGAAAAGCAAGTTGCAAATAATACCTGCATTATATAGTATAGAAAAATACTTAAAATATTTTTTTAATACTACATGTATGTAATATTCTAGGGGGGGCCTGGTGGCTCAGTCAGTTGTGTCTGCCTTCAGCTCAGGTCATGATTCCAGAGTCCTGGGATGGAGTCCCGTGTCGGGCTCCCTGCTGAGCAGGGAGTCTGCTTCTTCCCCATTCCCCTGCACATGCTCTCTGTCTCAAATAAATAAATAAAATCTTTTTTAAAAAAATATTCTAAGAGGACATGTACAAAGCTGGGTGTAAAGCACTGTTTGTAATTAAAACCCAAATAAAAAAGAAACTGTGTAAAAGTTAACTGGAGGACCCATAAATTTTGCTCCTTGGTATTTATCCAGGAAAAATAGGACATCTGTTCACAAAGAGACAGACATAAGCATAGCAGCTTAAAACTAGAAACAGCCCAAATAATCGATAAACTGTGGTGATCGTTGCACAGTGGAATACACCAGCAACAGTAAGGTAAAAACCACCGCGCAGCAACATCGATGAGCCTCAAAAATATGAGTGAAGGACACCAGGAACACCTGGGTGGCTCAGCTGGTTAAGCGTCTGCCTTCCGCTCAGGTCATGATTCCAGGGTCCTAGGAATTGAGCCCCGCATTGGGCTCCCTGCTCAGTGGGAAGCCTGCTTCTCTGCCTGCCTGCCGCTCCCCCTCCTTGTGAGTGCTTGCTCCGACAAATAAATAAAATCTTTTTTTTTTAATTTTTTTTTTTTTAAGATTTTATTCATTTGACAGACAGAGATCACAAGTAGGCAGAGAGGCAGGCAGAGAGAGAGGAAGGGAAGCAGGCTCCCCGCTGAGCAGAGAGCCCGATGCGGGGCTCGATCCCAGGACCCCGAGATCATGACCTGAGCCGAAGGCAGAGGCTTCAACCCACTGAGCCACCCAGGCGCCCCTAAAATCTTTATTTAAAAAAAAAAAAAAAAGGACCAGACACAGACTATATTCTGTAGGAGGCTGTAGAATAGGAAAAGCTTCATCCCTGGTGATAAAAATCAGAACAGTAGTTGTCTGGGGAGAGGCCTGACCAGGAATGGGCCTGTGGGAGCTTTCTGAGACAACAGAGATGTTCTGTCTTGATAAGTGGGTTATACAGGTACATGCCTTGGCCAAATGGAATGAATTCTGTACCTAAGATCAGTGTATTTCGGTGTCTGTAGATGACCAGGGAGGATTACCGAGGTGCATTTACCATTTAAAGAATGTGAACTTCTTTTCTAACACTGGTTTTTAATGCTTATATTTAGAGAAGCTGCTCGAGAATGTCGCAGAAAGAAGAAAGAATATGTGAAATGCCTGGAAAATCGAGTCGCAGTCTTGGAAAATCAAAACAAAACTCTAATAGAAGAATTAAAAACTTTGAAGGATCTTTATTCCCATAAAAGTGTTTGATTAAGAAAGAAAATATTTTTGCAGACTTGCCTAAAAATTAGATGGATTTTTCTTTTTAGTGGAGTTTATAAATTAAAAGGTCAAAAATGAAGCTTTTTATTTAGGCTTTTGCAACTCAAAGATAAGTATCTTATGCAAGAGATGTGGTGACGGAAGATAAAATGGAAAATGACCTCAAGGAAGTTACTGGCACAACTGGAAACTCTAAAAATTAAACCTACTCAACAAGCAGGAAATGAACTTTCACCAGTTTGAATTTTCTAAATACCAAGAATTCAGAAATGGCAGATAAGATGAAATCTGGTAAACTGATTTTTAAAATAAATCAGTTTACCCTGTAGGTTTGCCTTTCTTATTGTTTCTTAAATTTCTTTTCAATTGTGTGTGCGTGTGTGTATCTGTTTTATTTCTGCCAATAAATTCTAAATTACAAATAGAAAAGCTAATACATAACTAAATATATAAATTATGTGTTCTGATTATGTATACTTGTTCTATTGTCAAATCTTTTAAATGGGTTTTTTAAAGTTTGTTTTTTGAACTTGAGAGGGGTTTTGAGACTTGCTTGGGTGAACTATTTTTGAGGCTTTGTCCTAAAAAGCATCTAAGATACATGAATGGAGTGTGGTGATTTTGTAACATTTTTTTTATCAGATTGGAAAGTGAACTTCTGTTTAAAAGTTTGATACTTTTAAATAGCTTGTTTTTTTGGTTACTCTGGGAATGGAGATTTTCTACAAATATATAATAAATTGTTTTTTGATTCTGTATTCTGTATGCAGTTGAATATACATTACTTATTCTGTTGTGCTTTAATAGAATGGAATGTTTACAGGCCCTTAAGATGATATTAGAGTATTTTTAAAAAACCTTCTGAAGATGCATACCAAAGTTTTCCAAGAGGATTTTATAACCAATTTAATGTAAGGTTTATCAGATTCTAAAATAGTATGGTTATTAAGGCAATTTTATGTTAGAGTCTATTTTGTAATGTAGTGAATGGTACATTTCTAAGAAAAGTGACTGCCAATATATTTTTATAGCTGATCTTTATAAATTCTAAAGTTGAGTTTTTAATGATTATTTTAAATGTTTATATAGTTTGTTTAGTAAAAAAAATATATATATTTTGCATCTCAAAGTATCATTTTTATATAATGAAAAGTTTCCAGATTGGCTAATATTTGAATTGCAAGTTTTATATGCAGTTTTATCCAAAGCTCAAGAATGCCCTTCAGTACACCAGTGTTTAACCTCTGTACTCCAGTCTGTATACACTTTTGAAATTGTACTGCAAAACTATTGTGCGCTTCTTATACAATATGTATCATATTGTTGTCTGTGAAATTAAAGGATATTTGATAAAATTAAGTTTGCTGAATGTAAAATACATTGCTTGATATGTGAACAACAAGCTTCCTGATAGCCATTCTGTTAATTATACTAACTATAGTACCTTTCTAGTTTTAAAATGAGAATAAATTTAAAATTCTGGTCCACACAACTTGTTTTAAGAGAGGATATCTTTATATATTTGATTCAGTCAGAACCAGTTCTAAAAGTGGCCAAATTTTTTGTTCTGCAAGTTTTTATTAGGACATGGTTAACAAGCCTATTATGTAGAAACCTTAATTGACAAATTTGTGCAATCTTTTTTTTCTTTTTTAAGATTTTATTTATTTATTTGTCAGAGAGCGAGCACAGGCAGACAGAGTGGCAGGCAGAGGCAGAGGGAGAAGCAGGCTCCCCGCCCAGCAAGGAGCCCGATGTGGGACTCGATCCCAGGACGCTGGGATCATGACCCGAGCCGAAGGCAGCCGCTCAACCAACTGAGCCACCCAGGCGCTCCCAAATTTATGCAATCTTAATGAAAATTTTCATTAACAGTATTTTTAAAATTGGGGCTCTGTTGATCAGGCAGCAGTTTGTGAAAAAAAGAGTTTGATCACCCGTGGGGTCACTTACATCACTTACTGTTTGGTATAAAGCCAAGAGGAGGTCTGGGCTCAATGTGTTACATCAAGAGAATTTTAAAAGATAATATAGGGTAGATGTAATGCTTGGCTGTCCCAGGGATTGTTCAGCTCTTAATGCCTTAACAGCTGGACATCATAAATATTTATAGACTTAACACTGTCTGCAGACTTCGGGTGTAGGGCCTTGCTCTCACTAAATCAAGTTACCTAGGCTAGCAGTGTGTAACAGGCGTGAGCAAGCATACCGATGATTCCATAAACGCGTACCAAATTATCTTTCAAGATATTTTTGTGACTTGAATCCAATGAGAGGTTTATGAAATTGTGAAAGTGATTACAGTCCAAACCTAAATTAGACTCCAAAAGTTCAATAGACAAATTATTTCCTTAGTTCGATTTACTGTTTTACATAAGTTTATTATCTATTTATATATTGATGGAAATAATTACTGCCCATGAACAAAGCTTGAGTATATAAGTTGTCGCTTTAATTTTATTGTGCAGAGCTTGAGTGGCGTGTATTAGAGCTTTGGAAATCGTACTACAGTTAACCCCTGAACAATGCAGGGGTCAGGGGCACGGACTCCCATGCAGTCAGAAATCCACGCACAACTTTTAACTCCCCCAAAACTCCTACGAACCTGCTGTTGACTGGAAGCTTTACCAGTAGCAGTCAATTAACACATATTTTGTATGTTCCATGTATTATAAACTGTTCTCAAAATAAAGCTAGAGCAAAGAAAATACTAAAACCACAAGGTAAATACATTTCTAGTACTGTATCGAAAATAAAAATCCATGTTTAAATGGACCTGCACAATTCAAACCTGTGTTGCTCAAGGGTCAGCTGTATACTTGTCCATTCAGTTATTATATTGAAGTTACTGGTTAAATATGTTTTTCTCCAATGAAAATACATGGACATAGGAATGACAGAAAAATAAGTATTTATGGCTTATAATTACATAGTTGTAATGGCATTCAAATTTCAGAAAAGATGCTGTAAAAATGATATAAAATCAGTGAAATTGGACTAGGCTTGATTTAAAGGGAAAGTCACAGATTAGAGTAAAACAGAATAATGTCAAAGTATATGAAAATCTAATTAGTTACATTACTTTGTTATACAAAGTAGGTTATTTTTAATAAATACTGCTTGTTTTCACTGTAAAACAAAGTAAAGGAATACTTATATTAAGGTTGTAGAGTTCAGAAGCCCATGCTAGGGAGTTTGGCAAGAATCTTTCCAAAGACAATTATTTGGAGGAGGTTTAGGTCAGTTAACTTTTTTTTTTTTTTTTTTTTTTTTTTTTAAAGAGACACATTCTGGTAATTCTATCCCCTAGTGTAAGTTTCTTTGTAGCAAACATCAGGCATTAGAGATTGAGTCTTTAGTAACCAGGGATCTGGGACTTAAAGTTAGTATCTAACTATTCAATCCTAGTAGTTTGGAGGCGCCTGGCTGGCTCAGTAGAGCATACAGCTCTTGATCTCGGGGTTGTGAGTTCAAGCCCCATGTTGGGTTAGAGCTTGAAATTTTTTTTTTTTTAGAGCTTAACTTGAAAGAAATAAAAGGGCACTAATTCCATTAAAAAAGTAAAATAGAAAAAGAAAAAAAAAAAAAAGTAAAATAGTAGTCTCTCCTCCTTACTAGACCCTGGGGGGAGGCTCTCTTGTGCTTTCCCATATCCCCAAAGTCCAGAGCAGTGCTTATCTGGGTCATAGGGCTGCACCGTAATGTTTAAATGAAAAAAGATCTGGGGTTTTAACTCCCGAAGGCATAGAGAAGTTTGATACTTTGCCCAAATCACACAGTAAATAACAAAACTAGGCTTCAGAGCTAGGTGTGATCAACTCCAAAAGTCTGTGGTTTTAACCTTCATTATGTACATTCTGATCTGTGTTGGAAGTGTCTGAAAAGCTTTGTTCCATTGTATCGACCCATTAGCAAAGATATTTAAAGTTCTATTTAAATGTGTCCACTAGATGGCAGCCTTCATTTTAAAAATCACGAAAGTTTTACAACTCTGAAAACCATATTAAAAAAACTACACAAGTTTAACATATCAAATCCTTGTACATCCATCATTCAGAATAACAAATGTTAATATTCTGTTATCTTTATTTCCGATCATTTTCTGATCCCTAGTCCAATTTCTCTTCCTAAAGGAGACCACACTGTGAGTTTAGTGTGGGTCCAGCCCCCCCCCCACCTTTTTTTTTTAAGAATTTTTTCTTAAGTAAACTCTGTACCCAGCATGGGGTTGGGACTTAAAACCCCAAGATCAAGAGTCACACTGTCTACCCACTGAGACAGCCAGGTGCCCCCAAATTCGTGTTTTTACATTAACTACATGAATCCATAAATAACAGATTCGATAATTGTCTTTTTCAGAAGTCCATAAATGGTATCTTAATAATGTGCCATTCTCTAAATAAAAGGTCAAGAAGACCATACAAGACTTGGGATTTTATCTATGGCAACAATACTTTGTTTTGGGGAAAATAAATGAACATCAAAGCTTTTCATTTTCTACCAACAATAATTAGATATTTAATATCACAGCTGGAAAAAAATGCTTCCTTCCCCTCTAAATGTTTCTTAATTCCTGAAGCAATTTGTTATTCTGCAAATAACACTTAGGTTAAGTTTAAGGTTAAGTTTACAAAAAACTAAACAAAAATGGACTTAGAGCAATGAATTTCAAAAAGGAAAATGAAAAGACATTACTTCTTTGTCCACTACTCATTATCTTCATAAGTAATCAAATGCAATTTCTATGAATTAACAATATAGAAGGGTTAAAAGGAAAAACATGGAAAAATTTATGCCAAATACTAGACAAAGGAAAGCACTGGTATAGCTCTGTTTATATTGAGCAAAATAGACTTTTTACAAATATTTGAGAGAGAGTGAACCAAGTGGGAGAGGCAGAGGGAGAGAGAGAGAGAATCTCAGACTCCAGGCTGAGCGCCTGGAGCCCAACACAGGGCTGAATCTCCCAACCCTGAGATCATGACTTGAGCCAAAACCAAGAGTAGGAAGCTTAACCAACTGCACCACCCACGTACCCCAACAAAAGACTTTAAAAAAAACATTACTTGGGGACAAGACCGTCACTCTAAAATGATAAAAGATTCAATTCATCTGGAAGATAAAACATCTAAACTCGAATGCTCATAATAATACAGGGTCAGGATGTGAAGCAAAATGCAGAAATACAATGAGAAAGAAAAAGGAATAATAGTAGGTTTATAACCTCTCCCTCTCATGATCAGTGCAAAAACCAGGAAAACAATCAGTAAAGACATCGATTTGAACAAGTAAAAAACTTAACCTAATATACTGAACTTCATCAGCTGTAAACCACCACTGATTGTCAGGCATACTATTATTTTAAGTACAAGTAAGAAAGACCCTGAGATCAAGACCCGAGCTGAGATCAAGAGTTGGAGACTTAACCGACGGAGTCACCCAGGCGCCCCTTAAGTACCAGGAAGAAGTGAAAAACACCGCTCATAAAAGTATGACAGGCCAGTGATAGCCAGATGCATACTGATTTCAGATGTGTCCAAACGTGAAAACGTGCATCTTAAAATCAGTGAAATTCAACGTAGAGTACAAACCTAGAAGTCATTCTTTTCAAACACGTAAGACTGTTTATGAAAAGAACCAGATATTGGGCAGTAAGTCTTAACAAATTCATATTACCATGTGAATACAAAATCATATTACCATGTGATCTAGATGTGTCTATCTTCTCACCAAAACCACATTCTTGATTACTGTAGCTTTATAGTAAGTCTTGAAATCAAGTAATATGAATTCTTATTAAGTCTTATTTTTTTGTTTTGGGTTTTTTTTTTCCCCATTAAAACTGTTTCGGCTGTTCTAGTTCCCTTGCCTTTCTATATAAATACTACAACTTGGGGTGCCTGGGTGGCTCAGTGGGTTAAAGCCTCTGCCTTCCACTTGGGTTATGGTCCCGGGGTCCTGGGATCGAGCCCCGCATCGGGCTCTCTGCTTGGCAGGGAGCCTGCTTCCTCCTCTCTCTCTGCCTGCCTCTCTGCCTACTTGTGATCTCTGTCAAATAAATAAATAAAACCTTTAAAATAAATAAATACTACAACCTGCCTGTGTGTGTGTATATATATATAGATATATATATTCCTGCTGGATTTTTATTGGGTTGCATTAAACCTAGTTATAGATCAACTGGGGAAAAACTGACATCTTAACAATACTTGGGCTCCTAATCCATAAACACAACATATCTCCTTTATTTAGATCTTTTTAAATTTTTTTCCTCAGATTTTTTCTCTTGTTCTTTTTCTTTCTGGCATAGAGACCATGCATATATTTTCTTAGATATATACCTAATTATTACTTTTTTTTTTTTTTTACAGCTATTTATAGCCCTGGGAGTGGGGCAGGGGAATTTAATGTCCATAATGTCATCCGTGAATAGACAAAATTTTATATCTTTAAAACCTGTATGCTTTTAATTTATCCTGCTT